CTGCAAGAAGGGGACCAAGCTGACTCCTGAAGAGACAGAGATTTTAATGATCAAAGAAAATTCAAAAGAAATACGATGAAAGGAAAAAGAATGCCCAAATCAGCAGTCTTCTAGAGGTGGACTTCCAGCAAGGCAAGTCTCTTGCATGCATCGCTCCAAAACCAGGTCACTGTTGCCAAGTGGATGGCTCTGTGCTAGAGGCAAGGAGCTGGGGTTTCACCAAGGAAAGTCAAGGCCTGGAAAGGCAAATAAATCCTCCTCCCTCCTATCTTAGCTCATGTAATAAAGGTGTTTATTCTTCTCTAAAAGTTGCATATAGTCCTAAAATACTACTCAGCAATATGAAAGAACGAACTACTGATACACCCAACATTTGTAGATCAAAAACATCCTATATAATAAAACCCTAATATGCAAATTGACCAAACGGCGAAAGGACTGGTCACTATGACATACACTGACCATCAGGGGGCAGACAGTCAACGCATTGAGCATCTGCCACCCAAGATGGAGGCAACCGGAAGCAGCAATCAGGGGGCAAGGCAGGTGCCAGTAGGGCCCCCTCATCACCCTGCCTGCCGGTTGTCTCACAGATGACCAATTGCCGGTCAGGTCTAGGAACCCTACCCTATATATTGGGAAGAGTCTCTTAGAGGTCTCTTAGAGATAAAAATTAAAACCTGGCAAGGCTACTCTAACACTGAAAACACCAGATGATGCAGCGATGCCATGCATGGACTCTGGCTTGCACCTTTTGTGATCAGCCCTGACCCTATAACTGTGTGACAAAGCCAATTACTTAACTTCTCTCTGCTTCAGTTTTTCCACCCATAAGATGGGGAAAATGGTACTACTGCCTCAGAAGGATCATGCTATGAACTACTTTTTTATAATCAGGGCAAAAAATGTAGCTGCCCATACAACAGCAAGATGCCTTTTACCTGTATGAAAAGTATGGTCACTGGTACATGCAGCGTCCAGGATTGTGAGAGGGATGTCCGACTGCCGGATTAGGCCCGACATCCACTGAGGGGTCCTGTATTGCAAGAGGACGCAAGCCAGGCTGAGAGTCTGCACTCCCCCCCCCCCCGCCCCCGCCCTGTGCACAAATTTTATGCACTGGGCCTCTAGTGTTGTATATAAAAGAAGACACATACACTCAGGAGTAGTACACAGTAGCAATAAATGTTTAAGAAACAGGTTGGAAGAGATGATTTTTTTAAAGGACCAAATTATTAATAATTATGAAAAGATTTCCTTCTCCTGAGTAATGTTAAAATGTGAGATTCTTTTGAGAAACTCCGTATGAAAATCCTGTGAATTTTTATTCTTCACAGTTTTTTTTCCTTCCCCATTAAAATGGTTAAGCTTTACTAGTAATATCTACAGGAGTGGCAGAATCAGGTCTATAATGTCTGACTGCATCATTTTCAGGTGAGTGAAAATACTAAAAGTATATTAATATAGCAACAGGTGTGAGAGAAAGAAATAAAAAACTATCATTGGTTTCCCAGTGTGGTAGATTAGCATTTGGCTGCTACTCCATATAATCTTGCCAACATCACTCTCAAAGCAATTTCTCTTATAAAATATGGCACAATCACCACCCTATTTTGAACATGGGTATTTAATCTCAGAAAAAGTATTCAAAGCATTTGAAATATCTGACGAGACAAGTTGATTTTTTAATGGAGCCAGTTGACATTAAACTATGCTGTTTTCCACTAAGATTAATACCTTGGGGTGTATGAAAATTAGAAGAAAGTCCTTGAAGGGGTTTCATAGCCTAAAAAAATAAACATGCCCAGCCAGTGTGGCTCAGTGGTTGAATATTGACCCAGGAACCAAGAAGTCCTTTGTTAGATTCTTGGTCAGGGCACATGCCCAGGTTGTGGGCTCAATCCCCAGGAGGGGGCATGCAGGAGAGAGCTGATCCATGTCTCTCTTTCACTGATGTTTCTGTCTACCCCTCTTCCTTCCTCTCTCTTTAAAATCAATAAAAAACATATTTAAAAAAACCTAAACATGACAGAATGCCAATCAACTCTCAAGAAAAAGTTTCACAAACACACAAAGCTATTTTCTGTTCTTTCTTTCTTTTTTTAAAGAATAGTTTATTGATTTTTTTAAAAATCCTCACCCAAGGATATTTTTCCATTGATTTTTAGAGAGAATGGAAGAGAGAGGGAAAGACAAAGAGAAACATCAATGTGAGAGAAACACATTGTTTGGTTGCCTCCTGCACTTGCCCTGACTAGGGCCCTGGCCGGGGAAGAGCCTGCAACTGAGGTACATGCCCTTGACCGCAATCGAACCTGGGACCTTTTAGTCTGCAGGTTGACGCTCTATCCACTGAGTCAAAATGATTAGGACCACACAAAGCTATTTTAAAATTCCCTTTTATATAACCAAACAGTTCCAAAGCCATTGGCTGCCATCTTCAAAATCTGAAAGCAGACTACTGGTGGGGTTGCCAGATTTAGGTAATACAAATACAGGATGTTCAATAAAATTTGAGTCTCAGATAAACAATGAATAGTTTTTAGTATAAGTATACCCCCCAAATATTGCATATTTTTAGTATGAGCATGTCCTATGAAATATTTGAGCCATATTTATACTAAAAAACTATTTATTGTTTACCTGAAAATCAAATTTAACTAGGTATCCTGTACTTAGGGGAGAATTACTTGGTCTACTTTGTAGAACAAGAGGCCCCCACCTGGTTGATGAGAATATGTCTTAAGGGTTACTGCATGGAATGAAAGGTTAGCAATGGTCATGGTAAGAGAAAAATTGAACCATTCTTCTGCTCCATGGGTTTCTACTCTCTTTCACACCGAAAAATACTTGGAAAAACATTTAAATGTGTTTCCATTTATTTAGAGTTGTAATGGATTAGTTGTACTAAATAAAGAGGATACTTCAATAGGATCTCTAGGGTTTGTTTGTGTAGGGGCTAAGAGCCCAGGACTAACCTAGAGAACTTGTTTCTCTTGCTAGGTTTGCTAATCTTAGTGAGGTATGAACAGACCTGATTTTGTAAAGCAGTTGGAGGACTTCAAATTTGCTTCATGAAAATGTTTTTGTTTCTTTTTCTAATGAAGTTCTTCCCCCACCTCTTTCACTAAGGGATTATCCCCATGGTTCTGTTTGATAGGACTCGTCATACTACTGGTATGTCAGATCGCCAAGGTGGAAGCCTGCTTCTAATGGAGGCTGGAGTATTCGTGCTCCAGAGGTGGGTTCAGAACAGCAATACTGCTCTGAGTCTGTGTTCAGCACTCATGGAGAGAGCATTCTTTTCAGCATCAGCTGATGTTCTGCAGCGTGGGATTCTATTACCTTCATTTGAGCTGCCTGGTTATTCTAGCAATCAGATCTTTCTGTCTCCTTCCTGTTACCGGGCCTTGACACCAGCTATCATGTGCCCTCCTTGCTTTGACTCCCAGGTACACAATTCTTCTTTCATTTTCTTTAAACTCAAATGTTGGAATATTGGGATTTCTAGGACAGGTACATGGCTAGGACAAAGGTGGGGAATAATGTGAAACCAGGACTGTCTGATAAAATCTAGGGCAAGTAGTCCCGCTAATATATCAACACCTGTCCTCTGACAGTTCCCTACAACTGCAAGGATAGGAGTCAGAAATTCTACTCATCATGGCTTTTGTCACAACTCTGCAGTTAACCTTGGGCAAATTACTGCTTCTATCTCTGCTCTGTGTCAGTTTCTGGTCCTCTTTTACTTGAAGCCCCCTAGAACAATAAAAAAGAACAAAGTGCCCTAACCGTTTTGGCTCAGTGGATACAGCGTCAGCCTGCGGACTCAAGGGTCCCAGGTTCGATTCCGGTCAAGGGCATGTACCTTGGTTGTGGGCACACCCCCAGTAGGGGGAGTGCAGGAGGCAGCTGATTGATGTTTCTAACTCTCTATCCCTCTCCCTTCCTCTCTGTAAAAAATCAATAAAATATATTTTTTTAAAAAAAGAACAAAGCAAAAGGAACTCACTTTAACTTATTATGCCTACCCTTAAAATTTAAGTTTGAATCCTAGTATTTGTAATATGGCATATTGGACTTCTCTGTCCCTTTACCAGGAAGTGGGGGGAAAGTTATGGAAAACAAAGGCCTTAAAAGAAATTACTGCCCTAGCCAGTTTGGCTCAGTGGATAGAGCGTCAGCCTGCAGACTGAAGGGTCCCGGGTTGGATTCTGGTCAAGGACACATGCCCGGGTTGCAGGGTCAGTCCCCAATGTGGACCGTGTAGGAGGCAGCCAATCGATGGTTCTTTCTCATCATTAATATGTCTCTCTCTCCCTCTCCATTCCTCTCTGAAATCAATAAAAATATATTTTAAAAAAGAGTGATTTACTCCATCAGACAGTAAGAATAACACTTTCTGTAAAATAGTGACTTTTTCTTCTCCTCTTTAATTCCTTTGATTTTGTCACCTTCCATTCCACATATTGATATCCTTTTACATTGAGATGAGACAGTAATGAATCACTTTGGCAAAAGTACATAGATGTTTCCTGATATAGAATTCCTAAAACTGTGGCTCCCACATCATAGTTACTGTATGTTTGGGGCAAGAAAAATATAAATCCCTCTTGAATGTTTGAATTGTGCCTGTTTGTCTAAAGAATTTTGTCTTTTTTTTTTGGCCTGCCCTAATTCCTGATGTCAGGTCCCTAGGGTATCTGTGCTATGTCTCATTCTCAGTGAATGTATATTTTATACAGTGTGATCACACTTTGAACTAAAATAGACCATATCTAGAAATCTGAGGGTACAGCTTCCCGGGACCAAAGAATATAAGCAGTTTGAATTGCTTTTTGTCTCTGGCTTCTTCTTGAGTCAGTTCACAATATAGAGATGTTACCATTTAGGTGGTGTTGTTTTTCAAGTCACCAGATCCCAAAGGCTAGCCTCCATACTGGGGACTATTCCCTAGAAAATGCAGAATATCTGAAAATGAAAGGGTCCTCAATGCTTACCTTAAGTTTCTCTTCAGCTGCAGTATGATTAGTTTATTGGGGACAAGATGACTTTTGGCTCAGTCCTGTGCATCACCAGGCCGTAAGCCAATTTTATAGCTTCTCCTACACTTTTTAAATGTTTATTAATCTTGATTCATATGCAAATCAGGGAAGCTGGAAGCGGAAGATTTTCATCCTCTGTTATTGAAGATATGTGGCTAAAACTCCAACGCAAATTGCTCTCATAAAATCACGCCCTGTATAAAAAAAAAAAAATCACAACCTGTAGGACGTGATTTGACCAAGTTGGCGGGCCTTAATGTCTTAGGTCTCTTTTCTGCACCCCACCCCTAACCTAGGGTTGGCCAGAGGTTGAAAACTATTCTCTTTGCTAGGCTTAATTGAGTGAGAACTAATTCTGATGTAAATTCTTGCTGTCAGGAATTTCAAAAGCAAACAGAAATAGAGCCAAGGGTAGAGAAACTGAGGCTGCCTGACTGTTGGCAAGCTTCTAAGATTTCTAATCCTCTTGCCTACTCTACTGGTCTGGTTCAGCCTGAGCCCTCACTTATTTACTTATTTATTTATTTATTTTTTGGATTTGAAGTCAAGGCAACATCAGTGCTAAGTCAATTCCAGCATGCTAGCTCCCAAATACTGTAACCTTTAAAAACTTGGGATTCCACAAGAAATGTAGCAGCATTCCAGAGACCCACGCATCAGACACAGACATATGCATTCTTGTCTGCAGCAAGGGGGTGTTGGCTTTGCTCCCTAACTCACTTTCTACAAGATTCTAGTGACTAACCCTTCTTAAGAGGGCATAGCCAAACAGGTTCATCTCAATTTAAAGATCACCAGCAAAGGGCCTGGCTTTAGTCATGTAGTTGCCAGTCACTTGGGATTGGTAAATAATCTCGGGGTAGTGGTTGTGAAAAAGGAAGCAGAAGTACTGAAATAAAAAGGGAGGGGCGAAGGGGCTAGAAAGGAAGTAAGACAGGTGGAAATGCATGACTTTTTCAACTTCCTGATGGAAAGATACCAAAAGAAATAAAATTCTTCCAACTCTGAGAACCTTTCTTTGGCCATATTTGGATGTATATGCCATATTGCCAACTTCAAATATATACACACACACACACACACACACACACACACATACATACATACATATACAGATATATACACACGTATCATCTGATATATATAGTTACACACGTATCATCTGATATATATAGTTGTTATTAATCTGTATAGGATACATTTTATTTATTTATTTTTTAGAGAGAGGAAGGAAGAGGGAGAGAGAGAGAGAGAGAGAAACAATGATGTGAGAGTATAACATGATCCGCTGCCTCCTGCATGATCAAGCCCAAAACCTGAGCAGCTAGCTGCCTTGACTTGGAATAAACTGGCAACCCTTCAGTGCACAGGACATGTCCAACCAACTGAACCACAGCAGCCAGGGCTAAAGCATATGGAATTAATTTACTTCCCTTTCATGAAGAACACAGGATAGGTAGGCAACATTCCATCTACTCTCCACATTTCCAACGGTCATCCCAACAGCCATTTAAAGTTACAGAGAAGGAAGCAGAAGGTTGGGATCTTGTGGCATCAGCTTCCTATGGATTGCTCTCCAACTTTTTGTGTTCCTGGTTTTTGGAACCTCTTTACCATCTTCCGCATGTAAGATTCATATTAGTGGAATTATAGTTTTAATTTCCACGCTTGACATTGACATTGAAGACCACGCTTTCTAAGTCAGGGAGGCTAAGTAGTAACAGCAATGTTTTGTTTTTGATCTAATGTGGTGGGTTTTATAACAGTTTTCCAAACTCTTCCACATCTTTCTTTTCCCCTTTCAATGTTTTACAGCTAGTGTGTCTTTCCCTTCTGCCTGAATATATATAGATATATTTTATTGATTTGAGAAAGGGGGAGAGAGGAAGGGACGGAGGGGGAGAGACGGAGAGAGAGAGAGAGAGAGAGAGAGAGAGAGAGAGAGAGAGAGAGAGAAACATCAATTTGTTGTTGTTTGACTTATTTATGCATTCATTGGTTGATTCTTGTATGTGCACTGACCGGAGACTGAACCCAAAACCTTGGTGTATCAGGATGATACTCTAACCAACTGAGCAACTGGCCAGGGCTTGCCCGAATATTTTGGCTTCCTAACCCAACTCCTTTATATTCTCTTTGCTTTGAAGCATTTCTTTCAATGATTTACATTTGCTTTTCCAGTATATATCCTTTACACCAACTCACTATCCACAACTTGCTATGAAGACTACTCTAACACTGAGAACATTATAGCTTTTTATGAGAAGCCCCCAAACCACAGGTAAAATAATACCTTTTTTGAAAAAAAAATGCATTATGCACCTTACTTGCTTTACCAATGGGGAAACGGAAGCAGAGAAATTAATAAGATTTGATCTAGGTCGTAGACAAGTCACTGATAATATTCAAACTATGAGATCAGACTCTCATACTAGTGCTTGAAAGCTAAAGACAAAAAGTGCCTAAGATGAGGATTATCTTGATTCATTTTTTCCTTTTTTAACTTTTTATTAAAGTATACAACTTGCATAGGTTTTTCATTTGCAGATTTTCAAGGGCTTCTAAATAGAGATGCCTAGAAATCTGTTATTGGTAGGACTTACAACTTTTTGACACATTACTGATTTTCCCACTCCTTCTGAAATACCATGGAGGGAAATGAATTTCTTTTTTTAAAATCAAAGACTGTTTATTGGACCTAATATTATCATATTATACTATCGGGTATCCACCATAATTTTATTTTATATTTGAAACATCGTTATTGAAATATAATTCATATACCATAAAATTCACCCATGTAATGGTTTGGGGCAAATTCACAGAGCTATGCAACAACCACCACAATCTAAGTATAGAACATGTTCAACTCTCATTTTTTTGGGGGGGGAGGGGGTTCAATTATAGTTGACAGTCAATATTATTTTATATTAGTTTCAGGTGTATAGCATAGTGGTTATGCAATCATATACTTTACAAAGTGTTTCCCCTGATATTTCCGCACTCACCTGGCACCATATATAGTTATTACAATATTATTGACTATATTCCCTATGCTGTACTTTACATCCCCACCACTATTTTGTAACTACCTATTTGTACTTCTTAATCCTTTCACCTTTTCCACCCAGTACTCCAACCCCCCCGCCCCTCTCTAAGGAAAATGAATTTCCAAGAGTACATATGTCCTTCATTTCAGTTATTCCAGAGAAGCCTGCCTTGAGCATATGTGAGATTGTTAGCTAGTCTTTTAAAAAATATATTATTATAGGAACTATATGCAACCTTCAATTCCTCTATATCAGTGGTCGGCAAACTCATTAGTCAACAGAGCCAAATATCAACAGTACGATTAAAATTTCTTTTGAGAGCCAAATTTTTTAAACTTAAACTATATAGGTAGGTACATTGTTATTAACTTAATTAGGGTACTCCTAAGGCTTAGGAAGAGCCACACTCAAGGGGCCAAAGAGCTGCATGTGGCTCGCGAGCCGCAGTTTGCCTACCACTGCCTATATCAAGTTGTAGGTAGTAAGTCTGGGTTTACTCTTGACTTGCTGCATTAGAACCTTCTGAGTCATGGGACTAGAGATTGGGACAATTAAGTACCCCCCCACACACACACTTTTCCTCAACAGGGTCACAAGCACTGCTGCAATGAAGCCTATGGCCCTACTATTTTTTTTGGTTTTGGTTTTGTTTTAAAAATCATTTTCTGTGTGGTTTTTTTTATTTTATAAAAAATGGTGGCCTCTAGTCTTAGGTTCACATAGTAAGGCTTTCTTGTGAGGCACACATCTTGTATATAAAGGAAAGGCTACAGGCTGGATAAAATACTCTCTCTTGGTCAAGTGGTTAGTTGGGTCAATAACAACTGAGTTATACCTTGTGCAAGGCTGAGTACTGACAGTTACAAAAATAATTAGAAGTCAAGCTCTTGCTAGTAGTACATCTTGAAAAGATATACATATAAAAACAAATTTAAAATATAACTACAGAACACATTTACATAAGTCAGCAAAAGCCAGTACTTGGGAGCTGATGATATTTTTTCTGTACTAAGGCTTTGAAATCCAGTGTGCATTTTACGTTGACAACGCATCTCAATTCTGACTAGCCACATTTTGGATGCCCAGTAGCCCCATATGACTAAGTGGGTTAGAGCTGGATGGAGTTAGTCAATGAGGACTTTCTGGAAAAAGGTGAGTTTCAAAGGAAGGGAGGAGCAAGAGGTCTTTCCGGCAATAATGCAAGAGCATAGTAGGGAAGAGAGAATAAGCCAGCTGTAAGGGCCAAATGGTCAACAGGTTAGCTTGCTAAGACTGGAGAATATATATTAAAGGATAGGAAGAAACAAGTCTGAGAAAATGGTAAGGACAGTTCACAGACAGCCTTAAATGGTTATAAGCTGAATTTTCTTTAACTGACCAAAGCGAGCCTTATGGGTTCTTGCACAATGAAAATAACTTTTTAAGAAGCTGAGATACAGCCAGAACCGGTTTGGCTCAGTGGATAGAGTGTCAGCCTGCGGACTCAAGGTTCCCAGGTTCGATTCTGGTCGAGGGCATGTACCTTGGTTGCCGGCACATCCCCAGTGGGGGGCGTGCAGGAGGCAGCTGATCGATGTTTCTCTCTCATTGATGTTTCTGGCTCTCTATCCCTCTCCCTTCCTCTCTGTAAAAAATCAATAAAATATATTTTTTAAAAAAGCTTAGAAATGGGAGACTTAGAAAAATAGGGAAATTGCTGCAAAATTTTCTAGGAGATGAGAGAGAGAGATAGAGATAGAGATAGAGATAGAGATAGAGATAGAGACTGGATCCTAATGCCAGCTCTACCATGTATTAGCTATGACCTTGGGCAAGTCACTGAATCTCTGTGTGCCTGTTTTCTCATCAGTAAAATGGGGATAATGCTATCAACCTAAGACAGTTGTTGAAAGGAGTAAATCAATTAATACATAAAAAGTGTTTAGTAAGCACTCACTACATTATTATTCCATTTTTAGCTAAGTAGATTACTAATTTATTACTATTTCTAGGACCCAGAAATGGTCACAGATATGCACCCATGTGAAAAAGGCCTCTTCTCACATGTTATTTTGAAAGGATTGCAGACTTTCAGTCTGTCTTAAAAGCTATGTAGGATGCAGAGGGTAGGAGGGCAAGCCCAGTGTCCAAGACTGTGCTGTCTAATGCAACAGCCACTAGTCACATGGGGCTACTGGGCGTCCAGAATGTGGCTCGTCAGCATTGCGATGCGCTGCCGATGTACAACGCACACTGGATTTCAAAGCCTCCGTACAGGAAAAATATCATTCATGTTTTTATATTGATTACATGTTGAAATGATAATATTTTGGATATGTTAGGTTAAATAAGATGTATCAATTTCACCTGTTTCCTTTTTTTATTTTTTAAATATATTTTATTGATTTTTTTCAGAGAGGAAGGGAGAGAGATAGAGAGTTAGAAATATCGATGAGAGAGAAACATCAATTAGCTGCCTCCTGCACATCTCCTACTGGGGATGTGCCCACAACCAAGGTACATGCCCTTGACCGGAATCGAACCTGGGACCTTTCAGGCCGCAGGCCGACGCTCTATCCACTGAGCCAAACCGGTTTCGGCTCACCTGTTTCCTTTTTATAAATTTTTGATGTGGCTAATGGAAAATTTGAAGCTAGTTAGCTCACATGATATTTATTTTGTACAGTACTGGTTCAGTACAACTTTCATTACTGAGATTTGGAAATTAAGGGGGTCTACATGAGAAGGGTCTATAAAAGCATAGGGGCTTATGGATGAATCTTGTCCTTAACACGTTAAAATATTTAAAAATGTATACATGTAATTAATATTTATTTATATTAAGTATATATATATGTATATATATATATTCCTCAATTTGCTAGGTAGCTACCGAACTGAGGGAGCCACAGCTAATTTACCTTTCAAGAGGCCACAATTGGGAAAGGGATTAAAAAAATTTTATTTTTTTTTACTTTTTAAAAAAAGCAAGAACAAAGATGAAAATGGAGAAAGGTAAAACATACCTTATTTTGAACATTAAATCACGGAAACAAACATCTAACTTTTTGAAATCACTCCCTCAAAGGTCCAAATCACACTGGCTTCAGTAACGTGGACTTAGGAAAAGTTTTCTGACACCATTATTCACAGCATCCCTGCAAGTCGCTACTTAAAATAACAGGACCGGCTTCCCGCTGACCCGGGGGCAAAACTCCCGCTCCGGGTTTTGCTCTGAATTATTTTCCCATTGACCCCTGACTGCACTGACCGACGAAGCAGGCTTCGACCTCCGACGGCCGCCGGGGCGCAAGAGGGGGCGGCCGGGGCGGCGGTCACACCTCCCCCTGCCGGTCCCGTCCTCCCGGCTCGTCCAGCGGGCGGTCCGGGGGCCCGGGCGTCGCCGACAGGTGCG